GAAAAAGAAAAAAAAAAAAAAACAGAAATTGTAATAAAAAGGACAAGGTAGCCGGATTAGTCAAGGAAGCGGAATGTGTTGGTCACAAGGGTCCCGGGTGCCAAGGTGCCTTGCTAATTGATTAGATGCAGATAAATGAGCTGAAGCTGAATTCGGCCACTGGCCGCTAGATGGCGCCAGATAATGATTAATGTTCGTCGAGGGAGAGCTGGAATGAATTTTCGCACGCGTTCGTCCATCGAAGGTAATATATTTGTCGACTTAATCACGATTTATTGGAATGCTCGACTTTAAAAGCTGTAATTACTTGTTGATTCGTAATCATTGGCATAGCGCCAGATCATTATGCTCAGAGTCTTAATGACTTGGCACATTAGTATGCTTCACTCAATTCGCTTAAGCAAAGCTCAACTCGGAGCAAATAATTTAATAAAAACTAACATAGGTTTTTACCCAACAATTTGTTTGCACTGCTGCATTGCTGCCGCATTATTAAATTAACTATTAAATTAACAAGTTAGTGACAACAACAACAACAACAGCAACAACAACAATCTGGCCAGTTACATCGCAAATAGAGTTCCAACTATTTACAGCTTGACAATGTAATTTGTTCAGCCAGCCAAGAGAACAACACACACACGCTCACACACACACACAATTTATATGCCAATTTTATATAACATATATTTAGATGTGAAGTGCAGCAGAAATTCCAATGTGAAGTTTCCCAGCAACAAATTGACTCACTGAGTAATATAATATACATATATATAGATAGCTTTATCATAGAAAGTAAGGGGAATTCTTTTATAGAACTCTCTTTGAAGTTATTTATATAAATATATGTATTTCTCTTTCATGTGACATCACATAAAGTTCTCTTTAAATGTCTATTTGCTCTTATTTCCATGGGCAACACATAAATGATTCGTATTAATAACATATGTCTGTGTGTGGGCTGGGGCAGATGCCTCTGATTGATAGGGCTGCGTAAGCGTGTTTGCTGAGCTCAGGTAAAACCCAAGTCAGAGAAGCCAGCCAGCAATTTGCACCTTTTCAACAGGTTGCAAATGGGCGTCGCACAAATTGAAAGCGGGAGTCAATAAAGCTTTTTGGACAGGATAAAAAGGCGCAGAGCCCGAAGCTAACAACGTACTGTATGGGTCTATCTATGTGTGTGTGTGTGTGTGTGTGTGTGTGGGTGTGTGTGGGTGTCTGCTCGTGTGTGTGTGTGTGTGTATCGAGGCTGTCTGAACTCAATGATGGATTAAATGTATTTCAAAGGCGTGAAAGCTAAAAGGCAGCACAAAGTAGCGCATTGTGGTTACATAATAAACACCAAGCACACTTCAATTTAGCTTAGGGCAGCTACACACACACACACACACACACAAATGAATTCAATACCTGATGTGCCATTCAATAATATATATATATATATTGGCATATATATATTGGCTAATTGTCAAAGGCTTAAAGCTTGCGGCTTATGCAAATCAGGCCAACAGCCGTGCAGTCAGGTGTAACATCTCCGATAATTGTAGTGGCTGCTCGCTGCTGGCTGCTTAAGGCCGCCGAGCCACAGAACCGCCGAACCACAGAGCCACAGAGCAGCAGAAACGGAGACCTGCATAGCCAATCAGTTCATCCTTCGATTTGCATTGATTTACGCTACAAGAAAATCAAATTGGCGCACGAGCAGCAACAACAACAACAACAACAACGGCAAGGACAGCAAAAAAGGATACAAGTGCCACATAAAAGGATTCCGGAGCATCCTCTTAATATAAACTGATGCAAGCACCAAGCACACAGACTTCGAGCAGCAAATGAAGCGTGCGCTTTAAGGCGAGATGTCTTACAAGACCCACACAAGATAAGTGAAGCGCAAAGCAAGTGTATCCTGTATTCAAGAAAAATGTATAAATTTGGTTCGCCATGACAGCGATTTTAATATTAAATTCCATTTTGATGCAGTGACAAAGGTGCTTAGCATTTGAGTATTCGAAAAACAAAAAAACACAAATAAAGAAGAGAAACATAAAAACAGCATTCAGGCACTCGTAGTCCCAACAACTGCTGATGAGTGTAAATATTTCAATTTATATTTCCATGTATACCCTATATACATGATAAGTACAAGCATTTCAATTGGCACCCTATTTATTAAAGAGACCGTACTTAAAGACTCACTTGACGCACAGAAATCCAAGACATTTTTCGGTAGAGTATGAAAATCTGTCAACGATGAAAAATTAAGAAAATAAGAGTAGCGTGAATTTTATGAAAGTAGTTGAACATGACGGGCAAATGTCAAAAAATGGCGGACATGATTAATGAAACAGCAGCGCCCTCTAGCGTGAGAACTGGGCGTCGCATGCAGCATAAATTAGTTGCTTGATAAGCTGAATAAATGTATGTGTGTACATACATATATAATATATAGCATGCGGGTGGGAGTGTGTGTGTCAGTGTTGCCAGCTTAGCCTCTTTCAGGCTAAAGCGAGCCTATTGATAATAAATCAAGTAAAAATGAGAATGGAATAGCAAGAAATTTAAGCAGACTCTGCAAGAGTCCTAGGCCCTAAGAGAACTACAGAACAGAAGACACGGTCTCTGTCTCTACCATCTAATAATTATGAATATTAATGTACAGTAGCTATTTTGCATATCAGCATTTAGCTTTATCAATTATATATACACTTGGGAAACGTAATCTGTCTCCTTGTCTGTCTCCCCTTGTCTGTCTCTTTCTGACTCCCACTCAGTTTGCATAGCAAAGGCAAAAGTCTAAGAGGATCTACAGAAGATCATTTAAGTTGTCTATGTGTATGCATCAGCACTTCGTGTGAGTAATACGAAGCTTGAATGCCTTCAGCAGCAGAGAGTATTCCCATTGGTCACTTAAGGCTCGACTGTAACGAGCCCCACCTAGTGCCGAGCGCAACATTTGAGAGCAACTTAGGGCTGAGAGAAAGATGCCCTATATAAAGGGCAGCAGCTGCAGCAATTCTTCAGTCGTCCAGAGCTGGTGGGACTGATCAGTTGTGCAGAGTGCAGTATAGTAAAGTGGAGTGAAGTGAACTGATTGCAAATATTTAACTATCATTCAGCTAAGCATTCAAGACTTAGAGGAAATACTTAAAGGAAACACTTCGAAGAAATTCTTGGAGAAAATACTTAAAAGAAATACTTAAAACAAATACTTAGAAGAAACACTTAGAGGAAAGTCTTGTAAAAAATACTTAGAAAAAATTCTTGGAAGAAAGACTTAACAGAAATTTTTAGAAGAAATACTTACAATTTTAGCTTGTTTTAGCCTACTTTCAAGCATAATCCATCTTACTGCGAAGCTCAGATGGCAGCACTGGTATGTGTGGAAATGTCTTTGGGAGTGTGTGTGTGTATGTGTATGTATAATGGGTGTATAAATTAATTGTTGTGAGAGAAAATATTTGACCAATAAAAGAAATGAAAGCGAACAATATGAAGAAAATATTTAAATATATAACATTTAAAATAAATATAACTAATAATTTATTTACAATTTTTACGGTAATTTCTAGACTTAACTCAAAGCGTTTAAAAATGCTTAACAATTTTTTAATTTACTTAATATGAATAACAAATTGAAATAAATTGTTGCAAATGGTTTTTTGTTTTTAAAGTATGTTCAATTTTAGCTGTGACAACGAGTTAAAAAACAAATTAGTGCAAAGTTCTGCTTGCCGGCGTATGACGCGCATTAAGAAGCAATTAGGAAAATTGAAAGCAAGAAAATCTCGGACTGAGCGGAACGGCAAAGCAACGGGGCAAAAACTGGCATTAGCCAAGGCTGTCACAAAAACAAGCCGAAACAACAACACGGCACACCCTGGCAAACACACACACACACAAGTGAGACAAATTAACACAATTACAATCTCATGTGTGAGTCTGTGTGTGTGTTTGTCTTATAAGTCTTATAAGACATGCGTTGGCTATAAAGAAAAACCCAATTAAAAGTGATAAAAGTTATTGAAGCGTTGCCATTGCCACCGCCGTAGCATTTAGCTGAGTCCCGGAACGATTCCCAATCTCCAGACAGAAGCGCTCACAGAAGGCGCACGCAATACAAATGGGCAACAAGCGAATAGCGAATAGCGGTCCAAAAGTGCCATACGAAATGGCTGCCATTAGTGTGCGTGTGTGTGTGTGTGTGTCACACAGGAGCAGAAAAACAAACACCAAAAATCCAGATTATCACACGTTTGTGTCTAGCGACAGGAAAACATAAGTAGCAAAAGTTGAAGGAGAAAGAACAGAGAAGTGGCGAAAGAGAGAGAGAGAGAGAGAGTAGAGCGAAGTTGTGGGCGGATTTGAGTCAAAACAAGCTTGAAAGCTTTATTGCGCCATTTTTCAAAACAATTAGAGGATTTTCGTTCGCTTGAAATGCGAACATGACAAGCCAAAGTAGATAAATTGAAGCCATGGACAATAAGCTAGCCAGTTATTGATAGGAAAGGTGTTAAAAGCATCGACTTAACGGCAGGACACGCAAGGCGCGCGGCCTCGCAGAGTCCAGGCTAAGCCCTGAAGTTTATGTTCTTAAAACGAAAACAAATAACAAGTAAGCTTCTTTGTTTTGCTACATAAATATCTAGACAACGAATTCGTGTCTAAATAATGATAGAATTTGATACAGTTGCGAAACTTTGTAAACTTGCAACTTACAACTGTAATAAACAAGCGAAATGACTTAAAGTCGTTAAGGACTGGGACATTTTGCAAGAATACAATTAATTTTGCTTTGGGTACAGTAAAATAATTAAATTTAAATTAAAGCTAAATAGAGCCAAGTATTTGAAACCACAATTTAAGAACTTTTATTGAAAACTTATTGAAAAAAATACAAAAATTTAATATTTTGTATTTTTCATTCCATTTGACATAAAGATCTAGGATAAATATATAACAAATGTAAATACAATATATGTAAATGAAATAACTAACAATAAGTTTAATATATAACAAATATTCAAGATTTAAATGAAATATCTAACAATAAATTTAATATATAACACATATTGAAGATTTATAAATTCCCGTATGGTTTAGTATAAGACAGATTCCAAATAATAAATTAATAATAAAAAAAAAATTGGTTTATGCAAATAATACGAAAATTTAAAAGCTAATTTTTAAGATGCAGAGTTCGAAAAAAAATATGTGAATCCAACTCTTCAATTCTTGAAATAACTCACTCAATAATCTCTCGATTTTATATAATAAATATTTTACTTACATAAAAAAAATCCATTTCGGATTAAGAATTGCACCAGTTCTTCAATACAAATATAGTTCTTCAATAAAAATTCTCCTAAGATGACCAAAAATTAATATCTAGCGAAATTGTTCCTCCACCAACTAGGTTTAATGGGAAAGTCCTAGCCGCAGTTAAATCTATACTTCATGCCCGAATCGCCAGCGAAAACTTTCGCATTTGTAGGGAAACCATTTATGAAGCAAAAGAAAGATTGGAAAGTAATAAATAAGTGATAGCAAAAGTGATGTAAGAAGTTATTACGTGGGGAAAGTCGGCGAAAGTCGGTGGGGAGGAAACTTTTGAAGTGTAACTTATTTTATTTAATGGCATGTAATTGACTTTGGCTGGACAATTTGAGCGCCACTTGGTGCAGCAATTAAACCGTCCAACGATGACCAAAATTGCAGCTGTCGCCGCGAATTGCGGCAAATTGCGGTGCAGACAACAGCGAATGGGCGCAAAATGAAGCAAAAGGTGAAGAAGTCGAATCAATTATGCATTGATATGCCAAAAAACCAAAAAAACCAACCAAAAAGTAAGAGCTCAATTATATTTAATGTCGTTATGCCGTGCCAATTGCTGGCGCGGCTTCGGTATAAATACTGCCGGTTAACGGAAGCGTTATGCAAAGGACTCGCAAAGGACACAGCCAGAGCATCAGCATGAACTCGTTAATATTCCCAGAACTTCTGGTGCTGCTCTTGCTGACAGCGACGACATCAATGTCAGGCCACGTGTCATTGCCAGCTGACGCAGCAATCCCCAGTGGACAGCAGCAGCAGCAGCAGCTGCCCAAAGGAGATCAGTGGGGCAATCAATTGCCGGATATGCTAGTCGCTTACTATCGCCACCATGGCGTGCACATTCTGATGCTCGTTGTTTGTCACGCGGACATTGGTGAGTTACGGAAATTCTCATCCGCCTCAAGTGCAGCTAACGCATAACTAAATTCATATCCCTTCGACCCAGCTGCGTCACGTCTGCATTTGCTCCTACAACACTTTATGGCGCACGACATCTATGTGCAGCTCTGGACGGAGCATTGTCTGAATGATCTGCAACATGTCAGCAATGAGACGCAGATGGACAGTGACTCACAGGTGCCCAAGCCGCCGCGCACCTTCTTCCCCAACAATGACACCCACTGGGAGCTGGCTTTTCTGCTGCCCGGCCTCCACAACAAGCTGGGCATCCTGCTGCTGCAGTTCAACAGCTCGTGTGCCCTGAATCTGCTGCGCTGGTCAGCGGCCTGGGAGCACAATTACTTTACCACCAATCGCTTTTGGCTGCTGCTCACGCAGGATATGCAGGATCTGGAGCTGCTTGCGGACGAGGAGATCTTTATACCACCCGATAGCGAATTGCGCGTGCTCTGGCATAGTCCAGTCATGCCCTTCACTGCATCCCTGCTAGACGTCTACAAGGTGGCCGCCTGGAAGCCGCCCAAGATTCGTTTGGTGGGCCAACAACTGCACAACTCTCGGCACATCACGCATGCGCTGCAGCATTTCGGCTCAGCGATCACATATAGACAGAATCTGGAGGGCATTATCTTCAACACGGGCATTGTGATTGCCTTTCCAGATCTCTTTACCACTGTTGATGATCTTTCAATGCGGCATATCGATATCTTTTCTAAAGTCAACCATCGTCTGATGCTCGAGCTGGCCAATCGTTTCAATATGAGGTAGAACTATCAGAGTCTTGCTATAGATTTACCTAAGTACTGCAATTTCTCGTTCTCATTTTATCCAAGTACTGAAATTTCCTTTTCTTTTGTAAGTCAAGGCTGTTACGCATGTGCTCCTAGTACTTTGCTTACGTTTTTACTTCATGTTTGTCCATTTCATTTACTTCAGAGCTTTGTGTCGCTCTATTTTGTATCTTTCTTTGCATCTTACTTTAATTATTTATAAAATAATCTGCTTTCGTGCCTAAGAAAAAAACACTTTCGTGACCTCACTCTTTTCCTCAGCATTTTTCGCTTTTATTCTCTGTCATTCTTGTCCAATTATCCAATTATTTCTTCGACTTGTTTGTTTCATTATATATCGATTTCTTACTCACTCTCTGCTACAATATTGGTCTCTATCCCTCTATCTCTCTCTGTCTCTCTCTCTCTCTCTCTTTCTATCCATCTTTCTTAATTTCCTTCATACTCCCTATTTAAAATATACCGATCCTCTTCCTTTTTCTATCTCTCCCTATCCATCAAATTTTTTTTGGTTTTGATCTACTTCTTATTGTCACTTGATCTTTTCTTTTTTCTCGCACCCATCAGCTACAACACCTACCAGACCGTCAATTATGGCTGGCGCCAGCCGAACGGCTCCTTTGACGGCCTAATGGGTCGATTCCAGCGTTACGAACTGGACTTTGCCCAGCTGGCGACTTTTATGCGTTTGGATCGTATTGCTATCTGCGACTTTGTGGCCGAAACGTATCGTGTGAGAGCCGGCATTATGTTTCGCCAGCCGCCGCTGTCAGCTGTGGCCAACATCTTCTCGATGCCGTTCCAGATAGATGTTTGGATCTCGATAATCGTGCTGGTGGTCATAACTGTTGTAGTGATGCTACTGGAAATGCTCTTCTCGCCGCACACGCACAAGATGTCCTACATGGACTCGCTCAACTTTGTCTGGGGCGCCATGTGCCAGCAGGGATTCTACGTGGATGTGCGCAATCGTTCGGGCCGAATCATAGTCTTCACTACATTCGTGGCCGCTCTCTTTCTGTTCACCTCCTTCTCGGCGAATATTGTCGCCCTGTTGCAGAGTCCATCGGATGCGATTCAAACACTGGGAGATTTGGGACAATCGCCTCTGGAAATCGGCGTGCAGGACACACAATATAATAAAATCTATTTCACAGAGTCTACCGATCCGGTGACCAAAAGTTTGTATCACAAAAAGATTGCCACGAAGGGAGATAATGCTTACATGCGCCCGGCTCTGGGCATGGAAAAAATGCGCACTGGCCTGTTCGCATACCAGGTGGAGCTGCAGGCGGGCTACCAGGTTGTCAGCGATACGTTTAGTGAGCCCGAGAAATGCGGACTGATGGAGCTGGAACCATTCCAGCTACCCATGATGGGCATTCCCACACGCAAGAACTTTCCCTACAAGGAACTATTTCGCCGACAGTGAGTAGAGACGAGCCTTTGCTATAAAACACACATAACAATACTCCTAACGCAGATTACGCTGGCAGCGCGAGGTGAGCCTGGTGAACCGAGAGGAGCGCAAGTGGATACCACAGAAGCCAAAGTGCGAGAGTGGCGTTGGTGGCTTTGTGTCCATTGGCCTCACCGAGTGCCGCTACGCGTTTCGCATCTTTGGCTATGGCACCGCGCTCAGCTTTGCTGTGCTCCTCTGCGAGCTGATCCGTAAACACAGCAAAAACATCTACAAATATTTCAAAGGTTCCAGACGTATACAGCATTAGCCTGCATACAATTTATTGATCATTCGATAGTTTATAGTTTGGTAAGTAGTCATCATAAATCCAGGTTTGCTTGCGATCCTCCTCCTCAACGCCAAATCCAATGACAGCTTTGACGCCTGACAGCAATGAACATCACCTGATTTCTCCACCTCAATATCCTCCTGGAATTAGTGATAGCGATTGATTTGCACTCAGAAGAAAACTTTTCAAGTGTAACTTATTTTATTTAATGGCATGTAATTGACTTTGGCTGGACAATTTGAGCGCCACTTGGTGCAGCAATTAAACCGTCCAACGATGACCAATTGCAGCGAATTGCGGCAAATTGCGGTGAAGACAACGCGGCGTATACGTAATGACAGCGAATGAGCGCGAAAGGAGGCTAAAGGTGAACAAGTCGATGAAGCGTAATCAATGCATAATTTTAATGCCTTTCCAACAAAGAAAAAGACAAAAAAAAATAGTAAGAGCTCAATTATATTTAATGTCGTTATGCCGAGGCAATCGCTGGCGCGGGTTCGGTATAAATACTGCCGGTTAACGGAAGCGATATGCAAAGGACTTGCAAAGGAGTTGCAAAGGACATATCCAGAGCATCAACATGAGCTCGTTAATATTCCCAGAGCTTCTGGTGCTGCTCTTGCTATTGCTGTTGTTGTGGCCACTGACAGCGACGACATCAATGTCAGGCCACGTGTCACTGCCAGCTGACGCAGCAATCCCCAGTGGACAGCCTAAAGGAGATGCGTGGGGCAATCAATTGCCGGATATGCTAGTCGCTTACTATCGCCACCATGGCGTGCACAGTCTGATGCTCGTTGTTTGTCACGCGGACATTGGTGAGTTACGGAAATTCTCATCCGCCTCAAGTGCAGCTAACGCATAACTAAATTCATATCCCTTCGACCCAGCTGCGTCACGTCTGCATTTGCTCCTGCAGCACTTGATGGCGCACGACATCTATGTGCAGCTCTGGACGGAGCATTGTCTGAATGATCTGCAACATGTCAGCAATGAGACGCAGATGGACAGTGACTCACAGGTGCCCAAGCCGCCGCGCACCTTCTTCCCCAACAATGACACCCACTGGGAGCTGGCTTTTCTGCTGCCCGGCCTCCACAACAAGCTGGGCATCCTGCTGCTGCAGTTCAACAGCTCGTGTGCCCTGAATCTGCTGCGCTGGTCAGCGGCCTGGGAGCACAATTACTTTACCACCAATCGCTTTTGGCTGCTGCTCACGCAGGATATGCAGGATCTGGGGCTGCTTGCGGACGAGGAGATCTTCATACCACCCGATAGCGAATTGCGCGTGCTCTGGCATAGTCCAGCCATGCCCTTCACTGCATCCCTGCTAGACGTCTACAAGGTGGCCGCCTGGAAGCCGCCCAAGATTCGTTTGGTGGGCCAACAACTGCACAACGCTCGGCACATCACGCATGCGCTGCAGCATTTCGGCTCAGCGATCACATATAGACAGAATCTGGAGGGCATTGTCTTCAACACCGCCATTGTGATTGCCTTTCCAGATCTCTTTACCACTATTGACGATCTGTCCATGCGGCATATCGATACCATTTCCAAAGTCAACCATCGTCTGATGCTCGAGCTGGCCAATCGTTTCAATGTGAGGTAGGACAGTGCTCCGTTTACATTGGGCTTAGAACTCCTGTTTTAGATTTACGCTACGCACTGAAATTTCCTTTACTTTTGTTCACACAAATTTCCTTTTCTGTTGTTTCATGGTTTGATATGCGTCTATACCTAGTACTTTCATTTACCTCACAGCATTGTGTCGCTCTATTCTTTTTCCCATTCTTTATATTTTAACTTCTTTATAATTAATCACAAAAAAGCAAGTGAGCTCACTCTTTCTTCATCCTCTTATTCAATATTTTTATCTCTCGTTCTTGTCCAATTATTTTTTCGTCTTATCTCATCCCATTATTACAATGTTTCTCTCACTCTCTACCTCTATCTCTCTCTCTCTCTCTTTTTATCTATCTCTCTCCTACATCTCCCTCTGTCTATCATTGTTTATATCCTTCATACTCTATTTGTTATACGCCTTTTCCTTTGTCTCTCTCTCCCTCTCCTTTTAATTTTTTCTTTTAATTTTGTCTCATTCTCTCTTGGTATTTTCCTTTCTTCGCACCCGCCAGCTACAACACCTATCAGACCGTCAATTATGGCTGGCGCCAGCCAAACGGCTCCTTTGACGGCCTAATGGGTCGATTCCAGCGTTACGAACTGGACTTTGCTCAACTGGCGATCTTCATGCGTTTGGATCGCATTGCTCAATGCGACTTTGTGGCCGAAACGTATCGTGTGAGAGCCGGCATCATGTTTCGCCAGCCGCCGCTGTCAGCTGTGGCCAACATCTTCTCGATGCCGTTCCAGATAGATGTTTGGATCTCGATAATCGTGCTGGTGGTCATAACTGTTGTAGTGATGCTACTGGAAATGCTCTTCTCGCCGCACACGCACAAGATGTCCTACATGGACTCGCTCAACTTTGTCTGGGGCGCCATGTGCCAGCAGGGATTCTACGTGGATGTGCGCAATCGTTCGGGCCGAATCATAGTCTTCACTACATTCGTGGCCGCTCTCTTTCTGTTCACCTCCTTCTCGGCGAATATTGTCGCCCTGTTGCAGAGTCCATCGGATGCGATTCAAACACTGGGAGATTTGGGACAATCGCCTCTGGAAATCGGCGTGCAGGACACACAATATAATAAAATCTATTTTACAGAGTCTACCGATCCGGTGACCAAAAGTTTGTATCACAAAAAGATTGCCACGAAGGGAGATAATGCTTACATGCGTCCGGCTCTGGGCATGGAAAAAATGCGCACTGGCCTGTTCGCATACCAGGTGGAGCTGCAGGCGGGCTACCAGGTTGTCAGCGATACGTTTAGTGAGCCCGAGAAATGCGGACTGATGGAGCTGGAACCATTCCAGCTACCCATGATGGGCATTCCCACACGCAAGAACTTTCCCTACAAGGAACTATTTCGCCGACAGTGAGTAGAGATGAGCCTTTGCTATAAAGCATACATAACACTACTCCTAACGCAGATTACGCTGGCAGCGCGAAGTGAGCCTGGTGAACCGAGAGGAGCGCAAGTGGATACCACAGAAACCAAAGTGCGAGAGTGGCGTTGGTGGCTTTGTGTCCATTGGCCTCACCGAATGCCGCTACGCGTTTCGCATCTTTGGCTACGGCACCGCGCTCAGCTTTGCTGTGTTCCTCTGCGAGCTGATCCGCAGTCACAGCCAGAGCATCTACAAGATTTTCAAGGGTTCCAGACGTATACAGCATTAGCCTGCACACAATTTATTGATCATTCAATAGTTTGTAGTTTAATAAGAGGCGACTTAAATGGGTACGGATAGCTCCCGGACCACAGCACGTAGCACATCGGGCGTCTTAAACTGCCAATTGCGGATGCACTTGCTCACGCGACACCACGACTCGCCATGGGTGGGCTCTGCGGCTATGCAGCGCTCGAGCACCTCCTGCTGCTGCTGTTCTGTGCCATGCAATAGCTCAAATTTGTAGAAATATGCCCAAGCATCGCCCAAATCTGGATCAATTTTGACCTATGTGAAAAGGAAATAGAGAATATATATAGCAATTATAAATTAAAGTGATTTAATTCTATTCTTACCGTTCGATTGAACCAATCTCTGCACTTGGAGAACTTGTGCTCCGACCAGAAAAGCTTGGACACCGCCAGCAGTACGTGCGGATCGTGTTCGCATTTCTTGAGAGCATCCACAGATTTGGTTTTACGCTGTGGCTTAGTTTCCATGAAAATAGCCTCCGCCCACAGCTCACCGGCATTGGGACACTCTTGCAGGGCGCGCGCCATCATTGTGCTGGCTATCTCTTTAAGTCCGGCGCGCAGCTCCACACGTATCGCCTCCAGCCAGAGCACGGCCACTTTGGGATTGCGCAGCCTGCCTCGTTCCAAAATTGAACGCGCCTTGGTTAGGACACCTTTACGCTCCTCCAGATTGGCCGACAGTATCCACAGGGGTATCGAGGTGGGGCATTTCTTCAATGCCAGCGTGTATGTGGCAGCTGCATCGTCTGTGCGCTGCTGCTGCTCCTCAATCTGACCTTTCATCATCCAGAGTTTCGGGAAATCAGGGAACACCTCCACGGCTTCGGCCAGCAAACGTAACGCCTCGTCGAGTCGTTCCAGCGCCCATTCCAGGCGTGCCGATTTCATCATGACACGAGGCGTTGGCGCCGATCCACGCGCCTTGGCCAGCAAACGACGCGCACGTTCATATTCCGAGTTCTCCGATTCCAACTTGACAGCAGCCAACCAAATGTCCTCGGAATTGGGATTGGCCTGGAAGGCCAATGACAAGATTCCTCTGGCCGCAGGCACATCGCCTGCCATCCACTTCGACTTGGCGCCCATCAGCCAGAGTATCTCCGACTTGGGGCAGTGCGCCACAGCGCGTTGCAGCAGCGCTTCCAGAGACTCCCGGGTTCCATGGTTCTTCTCAAAGTATGCAGCACGCAACCAAATGCTCTTCTTCGATGGAAACATTTGCAGCGCATGCGCGTAGACAGCGCGCGCGCACTCAAATGCATTTTCCTTGGCGCACTAAAATGAAAGCTTTTATTAAAAAAGGTTTTTTAAGGATAACCTACAAATACTTACAAATTCGGCATCATCAATCCAGGTTTGCTTGCGATCCTCCTCCTCGACGCCAATGCCAATGACAGCTTTGACGATCGCCTGACAGCAATGAACGGCACCTGATTTCTCCGCCTCGATGGCCTCCTGGAACCAGTGATCGCGATTGATTTCCACTCCATTGGCCGTAAGCGATGTGAGCGAACGATCGACAATCTTCTCCACCATGTGTATGTTGCCATTGGCCTCTTCCAGCTTGGCAGCCGTTGTCCAGATCTGACGATCCGTTGGGATATTCTCACGCGCCTTGTTCAGCACCTTGCGCGCATTCTCATAGGTCTCGAGGCGAGCCAATGCCAGCCACAGCTCCACGCTCGTGTTGCAGCACTCGACAGCTCGCGAAAGCAAAATGCGAGCATCGTCCGGATTTTCCAGCTCCACTGCCGCCTTCCAGAGACGCACAGAGTTCGGTATGTGCTCGAGGGCTTTACGAAAGACGCGTCGTTTGGCTTTGGTTTCGGTCTCCAAGTCGGCGGCCTTGATCCAAATGCGCACCGAGGTGGGAATGTGGCGTGCCGCTTGGGCAATGACGGCTTTGGCTGTATCAGGTGGTTGGAGACGCGCCGCCTCCAGCCAGAGATCCTCTGATTGTGGGTTCATTTCGCAGCCACGCATTATCAAATTGCGCGCCATTTGTACCTTGCCGGTGACCTCTTCCAGACGAGCCGACGCTATCCAAGCGGGGGGATGATTAGGATTCGTTTCACGCACGCTCTTCAGTAGCAGACGTGCCTTTTTAATGTCATTGATATCGCCGCCATAGGTAGGTATCATGCTCTGCAAATCAGTCAAATATCCCTTGGGATCGACTACCGTTTGTCCCGTCACAGAGTCCGAAACTTGCGAAAGTTTGACATTCATCAGTGTGTTTCTCGCCTGTCCAATTTTACGCAAATCCAAATCTCCAGTGGGTGTTAACATGCCAGGCGTCGCCACGCCGGGCACCATGGAAGCCAAACCAGAGCTGGCATCCAGTGAAGAGGTAGTCTCTCCGCCTAGATTCCGCGAGAGCACGCTGTCCGGCAACGGGGTAAATTTCTCGGCGCGTGGATTGCGCTGCTTGCGATTGCGACTGTCCCCTACTTCGGGTATGGTGGACCATTCCTCGCTGGTGACTGTGGCCAGCGAACGCTTCAGATCGCTAAACTGTTGCTGAATTTTGGGACGCTCCTGACGATAACGCTCCAGGTCCTCACGCAAGCGACGGTCACGATATTCCTTACGTTTTTCATCCATACGCTTTTCTATAGAATCATAAATAGCGTCCGCCTCTTCGTCATCCTTGTCATATGGATCTTTAGAGAAGAGTGATCCGCTGTAACCGCTAAACTCGTCATAGTTCGAGTCATTCAAATCCTCATCTTCCTCCTCCTCCTCGTCCTTCTTTTTTCGCTTTGTGGCCGGAGGCGCGTGGCGATCATCGGAAACATCATTGGCATCTCGAGCTGGACCAATATCCGAACGCGTAGTAAAGCCAGTGGCGCTATATTGTAACGAAAAAAGAACATTAATACATTTTTATTGATTGCAAAAAGTATAATAAATAAAACTCACCCACGACCCACGCCGGCTACATAGCCAAGAGGTGCGGGCACACCCAAAAAATGCTTTTTATTGCGGTTGGCAATGACCGCGGCGGTTATATTTGACATTTTTCTGAAGAGTTTACGTTAGTTTAAGTATTATTAATAAGGAAACTCAGCGAAATAAACAAAACGTTTACGCTGCTCTTGGCAATTGTGGCATTCACACAGAATGATAGTAATTGGAGATGGAACATTTAAAAAATCTAATTGTACATAGCCAACTAAACTATCGGCTTTTAATATCGATGTCGTGCGCGTGGAACTCTCATTCGATAATCTCTAACAGTAGCCAATCGAACAAAAGTCGGCGAAGAATAAAAAGGCATTAAAATAATTTTCGCAAATTAGGCTTGTAAACAAAACGTTACAAAATGCCTGTGCTGCCTATGCCGCCACTGATGCAGGTATGTGATAATATATTCTGTAATGCATCTATAAATTTACTTAATTGACCCCTATGACACATCTCAAGAATGCCGTCGAGCCAATGCAAGTGGATGCGCCCCCGAACGAAGACAATGAAAACAATGAAGAGCAGCAAATTGTAGTAGAGAATCCAACAATCGATTTGGAGGTATATGCCAATCAATACACTGGCATTGCACGACTCGATCGCCTAATATACGTCGCCGACGTCTGTCCGGTACTCGCGGTGGAGGCCCTCAAAATGGCTATCACCTACGTCCAGTCGACATACAACGTGAAAGTCTATCAAATGCTGCACAAGCGTTTGAGTGATCTACAAGCAGCTAGCGGAGCTGCTGGTGCCGCTGCTGTGGGCGGTGACCAAGCAGCTGCTGCTGCTGCCGCCGCCGCCGCCGCGGCTGCTCTGCCCGATATCGCTGCACAGCCGGCTGCAGTAGCGGCTCAGGCCAATGCGAGCAGCGCAGGAGGCGAGAAGGATGCTTTCGCCTATGACGCTGTCTGGGTGGATGCCAAGTTGAAGAAGGCAGCATTAAAGCTGGAGAAACTCGATTCTGATCTGAAGAATTATAAATCCAATTCCATCAAGGAAAGCATCCGGCGTGGCCATGACGATCTGGCGGATCACTACCTCAGTTGTGGCGATCTAACCAATGCCTTGAAGTGTTATTCGCGTGCGCGTGACTACTGCACCAGCGGCAAGCATGTGGTTAATATGTGCCTGAATGTAATCAAGGTTTCTATTTACTTGAAGAACTGGGCGCATGTCATGAGCTACATATCAAAGGCGGAGAGCACACCCGACTATTCCGAGGGCTCCAAGGAGGCGAATGCGCAGGTGCACACACGCCTAGAGTGCGCCGCTGGCTTGGCCGAGCTCCAGCAAAAGAAATATAAAGTGGCGGCCAAACACTTTTTGGCTGCCAACTTTGATCATTGCGATTTTCCAGAGATGATCTCCACTAGCAATGTTGCCGTCTATGGTGGACTCTGCGCCTTGGCCACGTTCGATCGCCAGGAGCTGAAGCGTCTGGTGATTGCATCCACATCTTTCAAGCTGTTCCTCGAACTGGAGCCACAACTGCGTGATATTATTTTCAAATTCTACGAGAGCAAGTACGCCAGTTGCCTGACGTTGCTCGATGAGATTCGCGACAATCTGCTGATAGACATGTACATCGCTCCACATGTCAGCCTGCTCTACACGAAGATACGCAATCGTGCGCTGATCCAATACTTCAGCCCCTACATGTCTGCCGATATGCACAAAATGGCCACAGCCTTCAATTCGACCGTGGGCGATCTGGAGAACGAGGTGATGCAGCTGATACTGGATGGGCAGATTCAGGCGCGCATCGACTCACACAACAAGATCCTGTATGCCAAGGAAGCCGATCAGCGCAACAGCACCTTTGAGCGTGCCCTCCTCATGGGCAAACAATATCAGCGCCACACCCGCATGCTAATCCTGCGCGCTGCCATGCTCAAGAATCACATCCATGTGAAGAGCGTCTCTCGCGAGAGTGGCAACAATCATGGCGCCGAGCTCTGTGTCTCTGCAGGCTCCAGCACAACCGCACAACTGGCTCGCATTTAAAATAATCAACATATAACAACAACAATAGAGCAACATTCGATTATATTACACTTTCTGCGACTTTTATTTGTGCGGCTAAATAAAGTCTTATAGCAAAGCTAAAATTATATAAAGTTTGATTGTAAATTTATGTACTAGTATGTGTAAGCCATATATATTTCTGAGTAGTAGCAGCTATATATTTCTGAGTAGTAGCAGGCCATCTACTCTCTCCTTCATGCTCTGGAAATAAACTGCTTCTGTTCATTTGAATGCGCTCAGAAAAACTAACTCATGAACCATTGAGTGACTTTCGAGCGACGCCATCAGCTATAAAAGTGCGAGCCTGATCTTTCAGTTCCGAACTCTGAACTCCAGCCCAACAGACTCCCGTTTGAAGCTATTCATTTACATTTAATTTTTCATAGTAGCTACTTAGCTACTCTCTATATTACGCTCAAATCCAATATGCTCTCATTTGTAAACGATCATGAACTGAGTGACTTTTGAGCATCGCCATCAGCTATAAAAGGGCGAGCCTGCTGAGTGCGCCTTCAGTTGCAGTTCTGACTTGGTGCAGAACGGACGTGACGGTCGCCCTCGTCTTATTAATAAGAGCGCCCAACCAAAACAATATTGTAATAAAACTGATATATTGGTGGGCTTTGCTGCCGTTTCGATTATAAAATTGTAAATGCTTATAATGTCAATATCTGTCGCGTTTACTGTGCTCCGACTGCCGTTCCCGTCCACGTCGATCGTCGCCACTGTCCGAACGCTGGCGCCTCTGTCTACCTCGCTCATCTCGGTGAGCGCTGCGAGACCTTTCCCGATGTCCAGTGCTGCGTTGCTTATTATCTCTATCTCTGTGTCTGTTATGTCGCTCCTCGGCACCTGTTTGGAAGCCATTTGAGTGACCATTTCGACTACGCGATCGATGGCGTTCACCAGTGCGATGCTCTCTATTTTCTCTCAGTTTGCTGCGTGAACGGGATCTCTCTCTGCTCTTTTGATTATTTTTGTGGCGGTGCTTTTGGTCAGCTGAATCGCTTTCGGACTCGGAAGATGATGAAGAAGAAGATGAACTGCTCTCTGCAGTCTTGCTCTTGCTCTTCTTCTTTTTGCTGTCCTTTTTGGACTTCTTTTTGCTGGACTTCAATGACTTTTTTTCGCCCTTGCGTTTCATGCGTTCAATTTTCTCTAGCTTTTTGAGTAATTTCAGTTTTTGCTTCTTGCTCAACGATTTGAGGAATAACAGCTCTGGATTCTGTTGATTGGCGGCGCGTGTGGCTTCATCCTCCTCGTCGCTGGGCACCAGCTGATGGCGCTGCTGCACATCCTTAATGCTCTGCAGTTCCAGGGCCGAGTGCTTCATCATCAAGCCATCCTCCTTCATTTGCTCCTCAAGCACATTTTTGGACATTATGTCGTTAGCCTCCGATTCGGAATGCAGTTTGCGGGCCTCACTCATCGATATGCTGTACATGCTGCACTCTTTATCCGTGTTGATGTGCCCCCATTTGTGGCACTTGAGGCAGCGCACATTGCGCACTTGAATACCAAAAGGCTGATCTCGTATTTCGGTGTCACCCTTGCAGTACGACTCACGGGGAGCATTATATTTTCGCTGCCATTCGAATTTGTATTCCGGTTCGTTATCGTCCTTTTCACGCTCCTTGCGCACACCTGGCGGTGGCTCATACATGAAATTAACACTCAGCTTGTCCTTGCTATCCTTGCTGAGCATCGCCTTGTTTTCATGGAGATTCTGTTCCTTTTCATACTGTGTGCGCAGCTCCTCCTGTTTCTTCTTATATGCCTCTGCCTGCTGTTCTGCCATCCATACCTGGGCATTTCATGAAGTATCGTTGTGAAAAAATATTGACCACATAAACGTTTAGTAGCTACTTACCCGCTTAAGATTGTCTCTTGAGGCGGGGTGAAAGAACTTCTTGCACATATAATTGTTGAAACCTTTACCCATCTTTTTACTTTATTATTTCCTATATTTAAAAGAAATATATTACAATTTGTCACTGTTTTGCTATGCTTAGCTGCGATTGGGTGTGCTTGTGTATGTGTTTATCAATATACTGCGATAATACTCTGAGCTATCGATAGAATTGCAATCTCTAATTAATGAATCAGTGCGCCGATATGAATTTGAATAGCAACGAACTATTCCACATGCATTCAATGCTTTTCTATTTAATATAGTTTATGTAAAATTACAAATTATTCTCTAAATACTTTGGGATAAAATTTTAAGTTTATAGGCCTGACTTAAAAAACTTATTATCTGATTCGATAGTTTTGATCTAGGTTTCACAATGCAAAGCTGTGTGAAGTCGCGGTTTCACGATTGCTAACACTCACAGCTACGCAGATCGCAACATTTAACCTCGTTTTAAATTTGATCTTCAATACAACTTCTTACAAAATGAATGTAATGGACGCAAACGATATGGTATGCTGTCCCTACAACAAAACGCACAAAATGTTGCGGAAAAAGCTACAGCAGCACATACTGAAATGCCGAGAAATCTACAAAGACGAAGTGGAGCTGCTTGTGTGTCCATTTAACAAAGCGCATCTTATACCTGAGCCAGATTTCTTGGTGAGTAACACAAGTAACACTCGATCATTTGAATTTTGCTAAAATCTCTCTCACACACACACAGCAACACACAAGAACATGCATCGATCGTAAAATCGTTGCGCATTATCAGCAGAGTGCGCCCGCCCCGCTGAACGAAGAGACAAAACACGAAAAAATCGAAACGGAAGAGAACTGGGACGACGAATATGTGCCCGACTATGATCCGCAGCAGTACGTTGTCAACGCTAACATTGTTCGTGAACCGAATGGCATGTTCCCCTCACAGCGCAAGGCATTCATAAAACAGGAGCGCAAGCGTCTGCTAGGCGAAGACAGCGATGAAGAAACCACAGGAAGCGAGCAAAATATGAAATTACCAACCAAAGCCAACTCCACAGGAACACAACGTCCGGCACCATACAAACTGCCAAACCGTAATCGTTGACTCAAGGACTAAACTTGTAAACTTACTTACCAAAGTTTAACCATAGAAAATGTATGTGATTTAATTAGATCATCTTCCATTGTAGATATAAGAATAATAAATAAGCAATCGCTAATATCTTGCCCAAATTGAATCTTGCAATTTATCCTATTTAAGATTTATACATAACTACGTTTATTTTCAGAGGCTACTAACTTTTTGTTGGCAGCCCTATTTGATCTGTTTCTTCTATTAAATCCAGATTCATTGCTATTGAAAATACATGCTCTCGTTTTATTGTGTAAAATGTGTGTAATAAAAATCTAAAACCAATATAAATATTTATGTAAATGTACGTATGTATATCTACATATATGCATGAGTATATAAATGCAATTTTTTATTTTTATTGCTTATCTGCAAAACGACGTCGTTCACTCTCGCGGAAATTACGACGAACTGATCTTGGCTGTCCATTCACGACATTTGAACGAATCACCAAATTCTCCTCACAGTACGCATTCGGATTGTAGGTTGGGACATCGGGATCTTTGTCCCAGTCTTCATCACATTTAACCACATCTATGGATGCGGCTGCCTTTGCTCCTGGCAGCTTTTCCTTGTTCTTAAACAATTCAACGCTGGCACGGTCCGGGCATACTTTAATATGCTCCTAGACAGCAGCAAAGTAAAGTAAATTTTATGATCTGTAACAGCCTGACAATATGACTATCTCACCCCAATATTTTCCTCAGGGAAGCGATGAACATCATTAAAGGGACAAACTTTCAATTCGATATTGGAGTTGCGACTGCACCGATCCAAGTGTTGCAATAAACGGCCTCGCAACACATTGTGTGTTTTGTCATATGGACATGAGACAAAATCATTGAAATTCGAGGATGCCATTTTTCATTTCTTTTTTTTTGTTGTTTATAGAAAAAATTATGCTGTTGCAGATAAACAAAAATCAAGACGACCTCAAGTGCAGATGTCCAGTAAGTTGATGCCGATTAACTGCAGCTAGACAAAATGGCACTATCGATACCAAAAAATTTACCGTTTGCTTTTTTTTCTTCTTCTAGTACTTACATGTTTTTTTTTTTTCAATTTTAATATATCCTTCTCTCTCGACAGCTCGAATACGACTAAATCAACATGAAATGTGAGCTTCAGCTAAAGATTGACTTGCAGACAGTCTGCCCAAGGCAAACTATATCGATGAACGATATTAACATATTTGAGCCCGAGTAAATCTTCAATTATCAGGACTATTACAGCAAACTATTTTACAGGGATACTAGTTGGTAATAAATGAATACTAAAATGCAGCTGAGCACCAGACCATATCTATTTTGGTACTTTTTTTTACTGAGATGCATTAACATGAGAATATTCTCTAGTTCAGATTATCCGATCGGAATTCAGTTCCAACAGCCAAGGATTACTCCAGTTCCAGCTTACATTTTAAGCTCAGCTTTAAATATTTAAATTTAAACATTTTTAATACACAAAACCAAAGAAACAAAAAAAATAGATTTGTAATTTACAAATTTTGGGAAAATTCAACTCTTCTTTATTGTAAAAGAATTGCGGCATTTTCTCACTTCACACAATATCTTCCAATTCTCATTGACACTAAGCGTTACGGTAAAAAACTGTAAACAGCGACGTCGTTGTTGTTTTTGTTGCTGCTGCTGCACACAAATAACAGTTGTTGTTGGTGTTAGGTGCTTGGGAGGGAGCATTTACGCCGTCTCCATGGGCTGAGCGGCAGTCTCTTCGGTGTATTTGCCCTTGTCCTTGCCCAGAGCAGCCAGACGTCCCTTGCTGCGACGCTCCAGAATGGCCTTGCGATCCTTATCCAGCTTCAGCTTAACAATCAAAACTTTGCTGGGGTGGATGCCAACGTAGACGTTGGTGCCGTTCGCATTCTCACGCTGGATCTTCTCAATGTAGACGACGAACTTCTTGCGGTAGGCCTGGACAACTTTGCCGACCTGGCTGCCCTTGTTGTGGCCGCGGATCACCTGAACCTCATCGTCACGACGAATGGGCATCGAGCGCACGTTGTACTTCTGACGCAGCTCCTTGGACAGAGGGGCGGACATCAGGCGACGGCGGATGTGTGACGGGGCCTGGAAGTGGCGCTTGCGGTTCTTCCTGCGCGACGACGACACAAACTTGTTCAATTTCATTTTGATTGGTTGTGTGGGCTGTGGATATGTAAAACAATTCCATTGATTAGCAACTTTTCTATTTCATTTTGCATTCGTGTTGCATTTGTTTATTTTTGCGAGTTGCCTTGCACACGACAAACTGTGTAAAACCGTCAAAATTTCACTTAAATCGTGTGCGCCACATTGTGCGCTACACATTTTCATTATTAAATCGCCAAAATAAACAATGATGGCTGCACAAATGCTAAATTATATTGAACATAAAAACTTACACCAAACTACCGTCGTAATAACAACGAAAAGAAAGAATTTTGACAGCTGCAGCCGGCGGAAGTGTCAAAATTTTACTCAAAATGGTAACCAAGCGTTTTACAGCACTACTTCTTGGCGCTGCCACCCCGAGCGCAACAGTTGTGCAGCCATTGGAACATATTTGAATTGGTATGTACATGAATAACTTTTTTAATAAGTTAATAAACGAAAGCAAAATTAAAACAGAATTAAACTTTATATAAAATATTTCTCCTTATTTCTAAAAATCTCGACAAAGGCGTAACCATGTTTTCCACTGTTATCCAATTAGATACGTGAGCAGCGTATCGTGCATAACGGCCACACGCTTTGAACACATTTACTGTGTTGAGTTTCTGCTGTGAGAGCTTTCAAATTCTTGATATTCTTCTTGCTGCTGATCGGTGACCAAAATCTACTACTGGAGCCTAATTGGAAATTAGTCGCGCGTGAGAAGTCAACTGCTGTAGTTGTGCGTGAGAAGAGCTCGAAACAGTGTCCAGTTTCCAGTGTTGATTGAATTTACTTCATACTCTTACATACATACATAAAGATTCAAGATGATGAACACCTTGAAGAAGATGCCCATCCGTATGGTAAGGTTACTGCCACGCCCCTTCACTATCTCAACTAAAACTGAACTTGAATTATTTCCATTGCCTATTTTTTATAGCTGGCCAATGCAGCACGTCAGCAATCCGCAGCCATGTCCTCGACGACCGGCCTCCCACCTGCACTAACATTCCTCACCGACGATGAGAAAATGATGAAGGAGACAGGTGAGTCCTTTGGCTAGATCAGTAGAGTATAGCATATATGAATATAGACTATAGCCTTCACTTGCCTTTCTTAAGCAACTTTGTAGTGTGGTGCATAAAATGATTTTAAGATAATTTTTTACTTTTTTTTTTTTTTGTAGTCAACATCGGTTTTTGTTACGTAATTTAATCAACGCATGGGTGTTGTTGTTGTAGTTGTTGTTCCTTATTTATTATTATACATATTAAGGTGTTGTTGGATTTTCGGTTCGTTTGATGCACTTCATTTTATTTTTATTATTTCATATTGTATTTTGTGCACATATGTATGTGTGTGCTGATAAAAAAACTGTACACGCTTAGACATTGCGGCGGGGCAGAGGGAGCAAAAGAGATAGAAACAGAGGGGGGCGGGAATGTTCTAGCTGCGGTAGATAAGCTCATTCTCGTTGTAATGAAAAATGCGAATGAAATCTAATTTACACTTGTAACATTTTTACATGTACATACATATATATTAATGTGAATTTAATTATATATACATATATGTTATACGTATATAAATATATATATATATTTTTTTGCAACGTTTGCTTGCCATGCGGCGTTTATTTAAATTAATCAATTTAGCCCAATTAAGCTGAACGAATTATATAATTTTCAAATGCTGAAAGAAGGATATTTGTATCCTTACACAATCAATTTATGTATAGTATATAAGTTTAATTTACATAATTAAACGTGGCAGCCAATTTAATATATATGTATGTATATATACTATATACTATACTATACATCTATATATACATATATATATATATATATATATATATATATATATATGATCCTTTAGGCACAGGATCCTTTAGGCTTTTTAGTATTTATATCATTTTAATTTTTTTGTTTAATTTATTTTCTATTAATTAACGTCAACGTGGCATTTATATATACATATATAAATTTTTGCTCATTTATATAATTTAATATTTATATACATTTCAAATATTTGAAAATAACAATTGTTATTTGCATTTCAATTTTCATATATTTTTTCCATATCCACAATTGCGACGCGAGTAAAAAAAAAAAAAAAAAAACAATAACATAACACCACAGCCAGTATTCGTATGTGTGTGTGCTAAAAATAGCTTGCTTCGCAGTCGCTTTAACAGTCTTGCTTTGGACGAAGCTGTCGAATGGTCGACGATGGCGCAGCACGCTAAAGGGCTGCCTATAAAATTGTATGAAGCTCGTATTTGGTGAAAAAGTCGCGTGTTCGAGCTCGCTCGGTGACGCTCGACTGTTGAATGAGCGGAATTTTTATTTAGAATGAAGCTTTTTTGAGGATCAATTCTCTTCCCTTCAAATATATTTCCCACTATAGTTATGGATTGTGAGTTTTTCACAAGTAAGTCAGCTGTTCAGTTGTAATAACTCAACTCCACAGCGTTACACTTGTGATAGAGCAAATATGCGGCTGTGCCACGCCTCCGCCCATTGTGTCACTGTTCTAGTGGCGCACGGGCAATGGATGTGTGGTTCTTGGTCGCGTAATTCGCCTAGAGAGTTGAGCCAGCGGAGCAGGTGGGCGTTAATTTCCCCTTGTACAAACCGCTGGGTCCTAGTTGGAGAATTGACAAATTATCTTTTTGTTTTTATCCATTATTTGTATTAGAATTGATAATTTCCCCTTCTTTCTAGTTGGATAATTGATATTATAAATTTCCTTTTGTCTTTGATAATATCTCGTTGCCCTTTATTATAGAAAATATTTTATACCTACATTAAGGTCGCTTGCGTATGTAGATGAGGACCGTAGAGGGTTCAAGGTGCGGTCTGCTACATGATCTGATGTTCATACTTATCAGAATGTTGCGTAACACCGATTGCATGCTAAGTGTACAAACCTGTTTCAAAAGACACTGCAAATATGTGGGGATAAGTTATGGAAAAAAATAGAAAAATTTAGAAGTATTTATTTGTATGTATGAATGTATAATACACATTACTGGTACAGTTGTGCCCAAAGAACGTATGATAGTTTTATAGATTTAGTAAAATGCGAACAACTAAATTAACAAGAAGTTAGCTCAAGGATAATGAAAGGACAACAGCTGTTGACTAGTGCATGCAACTACATATTTGTCAATTAAATCAATTTGCACTCAAATATTTATAGATTCAATGAATTATACAAGTTTTCCAGCTATGGCTAAAAATTAGCATTCGTTAGCAAAGTGGGCGTGTGTGCCTGGCGGCCGCAACATTTGCTGGCTTTCCGAGCAACAACAACGCAACAAGAAAAATGTCCACAACGAAGAGACATCAATAAAAAATAATAACATAATATTTAAATGCATGTTTGTATGTGTTCGTAAAAAAGCGAGAGAGAGAGAGAGAGCGAGAGAGACAGATGTGAAAAAGAGAGTGGGGTGGCGTAAGGGAGAGCGGTTCGTTTAGACAGAGCGCCACGCGAGCAGAGAATTTGCGGCGTTATTGATAAAGCAGATACACGCGTAGGCACATACACACGCATACAAAAAGCAGAAACGATACCAAACACACACACACACACATGCACATGTATGCTTGTAATACGTATGCGAACCAGTTTATTATAACGCCATTCAAAGCTTGTAGGAAAGCTTCCCGATCATAACAAATTGCAAAACTTTCTGAAAGCTCGCCGAGCATATTAATAACATTCGGTAGGGCTTTTAGACTACGACTACTAAAAGCTCAAAGTAGAACTAAGAGCTTTATATCTTTTCTTATCTTTATGCTCACAATGGATGATGCTGATACTGGCACTTGGGTAATAAATAAATTAATTGCTCTCTTTAATGATCGTTAAATAATAGCTCATAAAAAATTTTATATGTACATTACTTCTATCTTCAATGCATTTCCATTTTCGTTTCCAGTTGCCAAATTGGCCCAGGAACAAATCCAGCCTCTGGTCAAGAAAATGGACTTTGAGCACAAGTTCGATCCGTCTGTGGTGAAGGCCGTCTTCGAGAATGGTCTGATGGGCATTGAAATCGACACGGAACTGGGCGGCAGTGGCTGCAACTTCATGACCAACATCATCGTTGTCGAGGAGCTGTCCAAGATCGATCCAGCTGTCGCTGCCTTCGTGGACATTCACAACACATTGGTCAACTCGCTGATGATCAAGTTTGGCAACGCCGAGCAGAAGGCGAAATACTTGCCCAAGCTGGCTCAGGAATATGCCGGCAGCTTCGCCCTGACGGAACCCGGTGCGGGCTCTGATGCCTTCTCCCTAAAGACTGTGGCCAAGAAGGATGGCTCTCACTATGTGATAAACGGCACTAAGATGTGGATCTCCAACTCCGATGTTGCTGGTGTCTTCCTGGTCTTTGCCAATGCCAAGCCTGAAGATGTAAGTGGATAATTAAGAACTTGTAGTATTTATCAAATATCCTTTGATATTATCTAATGAAGGATATTCTTAATATCTTTCATCACTTTCGAATGTCCTTGAGTGCACCTTAAAGAAAGATTTTTAGTCTGTATCTCTGGTCTTGATTCTTCTTATCTTATCCCTTATCCTCTTCTATTATTGGATTTCAATGAAATATTTGGGCAATATCCTGCATTGAAAGGATTTTTAGACTTTCCTCATCTATTTCATTGTTATATATTGATACTAATTCTGCTTTTCTTTTCAGGGCTATCGTGGCATTACCACCTTCATTGTGGACCGCGAGACTCCCGGTCTGATTGTGAACAAGCCTGAGGACAAGCTGGGCATCCGTGCCTCCGGCACCTGCATGATAACCTTCGACAATGTGCGTGTGCCTGAAGAGAATATCCTGGGTACCTTTGGCCATGGCTACAAGTACGCCGCTGGCTTCCTGAACGAGGGTCGCATCGGCATTGGCGCCCAGATGGTTGGCCTGGCCCAGGGCACCTTCGATGCCACCATTCCATATCTGTTGGAGCGCAAACAGTTCGGCGACGCCATCTTCAACTTCCAGTCCATGCAGCACCAGATCGCCACCATTGCCACAGAGATTGAGGCGGCTCGCCTGCTCACCTACAATGCGGCTCGCCTGCAGGAGGCCGGCGTACCCTTCTTGAAGGAGGCGGCCATGGCCAAGTTCTACGCCTCGGAGGTGGCTCAGCGTGCCGCCACCAAGTGCATTGACTGGATGGGCGGCGTGGGCTTCACCCGTGACTTCCCCCAGGAGAAATACTATCGTGATGCCAAGATCGGTGCCATCTATGAGGGAACCACCAACATGCAGCTGAGCACCATTGCCAAGTGCATCAAGAAGGAGTTCTCTGGCTAAGATACCCAAATCCCCCAACAACCTAAATCCCTTAATCCCTAAGTCTGTATATATAAAGCTGCGATATCGTACAACAGATACGTCAAGTGCATTTAGCTGGACTGGTCAATGATTTCTGAGGATCAAGGCCAACGCATTTACAACAATTTTTTTTGTTAACTTTTATTAAATACGATTCAATTTATAAAGAATATGAAAAACTGTTTTACTATTTCAATTGGCACGTCCGTCGGTTGTGGTAAATGCAGCCAGCAACACATTGATCACAGTGATAAGGAATACGCCCATGATGAGCGCCTCATTGGTTCGCATATAGTTTCGACTCTGGCAGCGCTTAAGGCGGCGCTGTAAAGGAGCCACAATTAATATATACTTATGTAATCCCACATATCTGAAAATAGATTTGCGTTTACCTTAAAGATCAGCACAATGCCCACGAGCACTTGCAGCACCAGGGAGAGTATTACCAGAGCCAAGCTGCAGTAGAATGTGGATGCCGCATGGTTGTAGGTGATCAGAAAGCGCAGCTGATTTGCATTTGCCGAGAGCAAAGCTATGTCCATGAGACCTAAAAAGCATAAGAGGAGAATTTTAATATTAGATGTCCTATAACTATAAGACGTATATACAATATATTTATATATAATCTTATAAAATCTCTAAAAGCTCTTACCACTATAAAACCTCAAACATATACATATATCTTTTATGATACCGTTTCATGCCAATATCCCATCTTTATTTTATCTTAATATAATCAGGTTAAGCGTTCAATATTGCTCATTATTTTTTGCAGGCAAGGAGCCAAACTCACTTTATAAATTTCCCAATTTTAATGGACATTAAGAAACACAATTCTTAATTGGATGGAAATTTTATTCCAATTTGTTTTCAGGATTTAAAATCCCATCTTAAATTGCCTCTGTTCACTGTTTTGCACTATTTTTTCGCAGAAGCCAAACTCCATTTCTAATTTCACAAAAATACACTTTTTTAGCTAGTTATATAAATAAATAACTGCGTAGATTATATGCACATTTGACTATTTTAAACTAGTATATATATAATATATAAAGCTTTTCGAATATTAATGCAACACTCAACTCTCTCGCTTACCCTCGGCTACATTTTTGCTGCTCGCATAGTTATGGCCACCCGATAATACGCTGGTACTTTTTTTGAATTTTTGAGTCTGTGTTGTGGCAGCGGGATCGTTCCGTTGAACAGATTCCCGATCTTGTAGTTCTTCGCTGCAGCACTGACCCGCCACGGTGCTGGCAAAGCTGCCCTCCGAACTGAGTGTGTCCTCCACCTCGATAACCACCTCCTTGCTGCCGCCCATTCGCCTAAATTTGAGTCCGCTGTTCGTGCATCGATGGACAATTAACAACTAAAGTGTATATTTATACCAGTCTGAAGCTCTTTTGTGCCATTTGTAAACATCCATTGAAAGTTGCGGTTGTCCCGTTTGTGGTCTCCATTCACTGATAAAACAGAACCAGGCATGACACTGACCCCGAACTCTTTATGTAAACGCTCCATTTGCTCAACAACTGCCAAACACGCACTCGAGGTGCACGTCTCTGCTTTAAGCAAACAGCCTAAGAGTATGCTACAGTTTATTATATTTGCCTTGGGCCTCAGAATGACGGCGAAAAGCTGCTCCTCGTTTTCATGAGGCCATTTAATTAATTGCAATCCTGACACTCTGGTCAAGTCGGCCCTAAAGAGTTTGCATTTTTTATAAGCATGTCGATATAAGTTTTTAAAACAGGCCACTGATTTCATAAAATGCCGCCCAAAGAGCCAAACAACAGCTGTCGAAAAGGCCACTCAAAGCGAAGCTAAATATGTACCTTTCCTTTAGCCGACGAATGCGAGGGTGGCGCGAGAGAGTTATGTATTAATGAGCTGATATATATTTAAGATGCTTAAGAATAAATTATTCCTTGAAAGATTTGAATACTTTGTATATATATATATAGAAACACACAAAAGTAAGATCAACTAAATTACAATTAATAGCGAAAAATAAATATATTACAAACATATTTACAATTATATCAAATATTATATTATCCTATTTTCATATCTATATTTTATTATACATATATGTATATAAGCTGCTCCTATTTTTCCAACAACTATTACTTCATTTTATTTATGAGATAATGTTAACTCTTCTTCCCGCAATTCGACATTGCCTGACTTCTAGTCAAACTGCCCGCTGCACAGTAGGAAATGCGTCACGAAGAGCGGCTACCTCATCAAACCAGACGCAAATCCACCCCCACTGTGCTCGCAGCTCCTATGCACATGTCCCCCTTCGCCTACTCTCGATTCAGGCAGCAGGCAATGCTCCCACGCCTGTGGCCACCGCGTGCTCTCTCTCCCTCTCTCTATCCATGCTCTCTCTTTACCTCCCCACGTTGTTTCGCTCTCAACCAGGCGACGCACGTGTCGCGTGTTTGCCTTTTAGCCGCTTCTCAAACGGTTAAAGTTGACTTCAAAACGTTTGTTTTGACTGTTGTCGCTCTCCCGCTCTCTCAGCATTTTTAGCTCGCTCTTTGTTTGCCGCTCTCCCGGCTTCATTCATGACGTCGCCGTCATCGTCGTCGTCGTTGTCGACGTCGTCTTTGACGTTTCACGCATGTCCCGCCGTTCTGTTAGCAATACGAGCCGACCCTAAAATTGCCTTTGGCTCTGCTCTGCTTTGCTGTGCACTTGGCTTGGCCTGAGACTCAGACTCGGACTCAACTCAACTGCGTTGGCTTCTCGCGTTTGGCTGGCGGCTCAGCGTTTCAGTTCAGTTTAGTCGCTCGTAACGTTTGGCAGCATTTTCCGTTTGCACACACTTTCTCTCTCTGGTTTCTGGTTCTGTGTTCTGTGCTCCTCCCTGTGTCGCCTTGTTCAAGCAGGGCCGGCCGTGTTCCGTGTAAAAAACGTTTGTTAATTTCATTGATTTTCCCAACATTTATTTATGGATATTGGTTTTAAATAGCAGCAAAGTCCAGACATGCCTTACAAACAACCTCTTTGATAGCAAGCCAGTAGAACTCAATAGTGGTAAGTTTACCTACCTGCCAGTTTTTTTAGTTTTTTTTTTTTTTTTTATGTGCACGTGTTGTGCGAAAAATCAATGTACCCAAAAAAATGCATTTGCAAAAAAAAAAAGCCACTGATATAAAATGTAGCAAAACAGGCGACGACAGCCTTTTGAAACCGCCTTGACCTCACAAATGAACGAGCACGAGGTTCTGCCTCTTGATAGGGGGAACTCTCTTTCTTTCAATTGTTTGTCTTTGTTGTTCTGTCGTATCGCCGCACAACTGGATCCATTTGACCCGGCAAAACTTCGCCTGGGCAATCAATATTGGCTTTCCATGCCAGGCCATTGCATAATTCGGATCTAAAGTCTAGACAGTGCAAAGAAACAATGTTCTGTTGGGGTCCGTTCTTTGGTTCTTTGTCACATAATCTCATTATGAAGAGTGCAAAGTTTCAGCTTCAGACTGATAAACGTCTGCCTTGCAATCGGTTTATGTATAACCACATATACATAGGCATTATATGGGTGAGTGTGTTTACAGTATCTGCTTTATATGCACTTATCAGCTTTGTGGAATGGAGCTGCTGAGCGGCAAGCAGCAGACCAATGAATCCCAGCAAGAATTCCACTCACAAAAGGTAACTGGGGAAATAACTTGTAAACAGGTTTCAACTATTCTATTTACCATATTCTAATGTACGGAACACTTGCGTACATATCTAATGATCGTGCCTGTAGAAAATCTATTTTAATCTAAAATATTTCATTATTGACAACCCACATTAATTAGAAATCAAGTTGTTTTAATTGTGCGGAAAAACCTTTTGAACATATCCAGCTTGGAATTTCCCAATAAACAATTATGTAGTTTAAATGAATCTCAAATAGAACTTAACAATGTATAATAGATAAATGTTATCTTAACAATATATCTGTTATGTTTATGGTATATATAATATAAACAGCTCAGCTAGTTGTTTATGATATATCTTTTGTGAACTTAGCTAAAATGGGTCTATACCAAGTGCATTATCCAATATAATATCTGTACCAAACCATACTCAACCAAGTTAAAAGTAAGAGCATCTACAGTTCGTTTGAGCACTTCCAACATTGTGCATTTAGTAAAACAGATAAAGAATATATATAGAAATGTTTTGTATGTTAGATAGTACAGCTTTTTTCAAGCATATTTGCTTTAGATAGAGTCTGAGAGCAACAACAGACGTTACTTTCAGTAAACAAGAAACGAGAATACAAAGTCAAGAAGTCGTGCTACATAAATTATAATAGAGAAATGTGTTAAGTGTATTTACTTTTATAAACATTTCAAGCTGACCTTTGTTGATAATGTATGTGATGCAGGTTAATTATTTATTTGATTGATGTATGATTATTTGCTCATAACGTATTATTATCTATTATACTATATAAGTTTTACATAAATACTAAACGCATTTTAAACGCTTCTTATCGCTGTGCAGCCATATGGCAATTAAATAAATATTGTTTCAAATCTATTTGGGCGGAAAATTGTCTACAATTTGGTTGGTATATTTGTTTTGTTATGGTCACTGCCGCAGTAAATGGAGCCCAAAAAATATATCTCTTACATTCTATATGCACACAATCGTATATATACATATGTATATTAAATTTTCTGTTGTCGCACATGCAATCTATATTGATTTTAAAAAGTTTCATTTTCATTTCAGGCAAAGTTTAGTGCGGCAATCATTAGGCTGAACACGTAACATTCACTCAGGTATCTAGGAAATCTATAGACAACAATACAATACCAACTACATCAACAACAACAGCTATAAAGGCAACAACAACAATAATGACGCCAGAGAAATCTGTTATAGCCTATATCAATCATCTTATCGTCAGCAATTTTTCATATTTCTGTGAGTATTTTGATATTTTTGTGAGTATTTGATATGCAGTAAAATACAGGTTATTTTAAATATTATTTCAGTTGCGTTTCATATAATTTGAATTTAAATTCATTTTAAAATTTAGCTCAACAATTTCAATAGGCTTATTGCTTTGTAAGGGTTTAATAAAAATTCACATAGGTTTTGTGTTTCTTAAAAATAGGTTTTGTGTTACTTTTATTAGACCCAATGTGACCCAATGATTAATATTTAATTTAATACTTGATTTTGTAGTCTATTTATATAATTTTTTGTTTATTTAGTGTACTTATTTTGCAATACTTTCTATTTTTACTTTCTTACATGAAATGTATATGTTATATTTAGTATATATATATATACGTAAATTATTAATATATTTTTACTTCTGCCTTTTATAGGGGATGAAATCGATGGATATCTCTATTATTTTGGCGGAACTTTGGGCACGCTGACCTTGACCAGCGTTGCGGCCAGTCTTGCCTACTACTTTGCTACGCGACCAATACCAGAAAAACCATTAGTGCCTCTGGAAAATCAATCCCCATTGTTGGAGGTAAGAGAAAAATCAATCCAATTGTGTTCAATTGGCTGTGCAGCCATGACTTCATCAATTTGTCATATTGTATGTTCTAGTTTTTCATATTATAGTCGCCTTATATATATATAATTTTTCATATTTTGCCCTTCAATATACCTAAAAAGTTTTTGGCATAAAAAAGTGAAGGATCTCAAGAAAATATCGATGTGTTAAATTTAGATCGGTAAACTGATAATTTAATTTCTAAATTATTTTTTACTATTAACTTCCTACCATAATTTTCGTTTGCTTCAAATTTTTTTAGCTAGCTAATATTTATGATATTTTATGGTATATTATTTTTTGTAAATTTATATACATGCACCTGTTTTACAGAAAGTATGTCGAATCACTCATATTTTCATATGCAAGCGGTGCTAAATTTAGAATGTAATTATATTATTTTTGAGGTACTCTCCAAGAACTGATGTATTTAAATGAACAAATTAATTTTTTAAGCGATGTAGTCATCTCTCTGTTCATTTTGTACAAGTACAGAGTATACGCTAGTCGATCACTATATAGTGGTATCAGTCTACCTTGCTTCTTTTGTTCTTTTTTGTACTTTGAGGTAAAACAGAAGTCTCTCGTTGGCCTTTGATGTGCACATGTCTCATGAAATAGTGTTTCTATTTCGTTTCTGTTGTCGTCACATGATTCTTCACTCGGATTTGACCACTGTGAATGATTTCTATTCTATTTTTGCAATGACGCGACTTCTACAGTGGTGCGAATATTCAAATCCCACGCTCCAATTGCCGGCCTATCCTAATAGTTGCCAAAATGTGCAGCATTTACGTGCTGGCGAATAATTTATCAAGCGCTGTGACATAAATAAATCATCTGACATGACTCAATTGGCAGGCATCTTCTTGCTTTTGCCTTAATTAGTCGGCTGTAGCTCAATTGCTGCTAATTCGATAATAGTTCGATATATGCAAATTGCATATGGGAAATTGTTGTAAACATTTGCTTGGCATATGTATGCATTTATTGACACTACCGACAATTGTTAACTTCTGACCGTGTGCAAGTTCATATACATACTGTTTACATTCGTTATAAACAAACAAAATTCTCACAGACATTGGCATGTAAAGCAA